CTGATTGCAAGTACAAACAGATATCCAAAGTTAACAGAGCTCTCAAACAAGATTCTTAACACACAGCCTCTTACACTATGAACATGTGAAGACTTATTTTAGGCAGGAAGTCTTTGCTTTTTTTGTCCTTCAGCGTAATTTCTTCCTCATAGCTCACCCATTGCAGTCCACTGATCTTTGTCATATGCCCATCAGGATATCTTCCCAGAAAGAAAAATTACTGGTTTACAAGAGAACATAAACACAGACTAAGCAAAGGTAACTGCCTTAAACCGCAGATTTATGGACTTTTCACCTTTAGGCCTTCAATGAGGCACCAAATATGTTTTGGCATAAGAACAAGTCTGTAATGTAATACAGCAGACCTGCCCTTTGAAAAATTAAGATTTTAATAGAAAACATAACACACGTATATATGGAAAACAAGAACATTCTACATCCCACTTACTCTACAAGGACTATGGAAAACATAACATCCCTGAATTAACTTACTAAAATAGCATAAAATATGATAGATACTATATTGACCATTAAGGGGGACATATCCAGCCAAAACTAGAAAAAGTTTCCAAGAAAAAAAGATGTATTTGAGGATCTGAAATCACATCTGCCTTCTGGAAGCATAAAAAAAAAAAAAAAAAAAATCAAGAGAAGCAAAAGTCTAAGCCTTTTTTCTCAATCACAAACAATATTGTAAAGTTTGTTTAAGATTGCCATTTAGGGAAAAACATAATAGAATGATTGACCCAACTCTCTGTTCTTAAACACTCTGCTAAAAGAACAAACTATTTGTGAAAATAACAAAAACCAGTTGAAGGCATTTGGGTGGTCTGTTTCAGTCCTGTAATACAGAACAGTCCCTTTCTAAATCCAATATAATTTTATTTTCCTTCTTCAGTAAAGCCTCAAAATGCATTGATGACAAAAGCAATAAAACCCACTGAACATCCATATTATTAATTTAGGACATTTTACTAGTAGACTGACAACTTGAAAGCGCTTGATTCATCATACAGAGTACTCTTCATAGACAGATCCTTTTTGATTCCGTAACAGTGTTTTGGGGGTACATACACTTTTCACCTTTAGGACAGTGCATATCGTTAGCAGTGACTGATGTTGGACTGAATGCGGATATTTAAACTTTAATGCTTTGCCTCCTGAAAACACGGATCTACTTTACTTCTTCACCACCTGTTCTGTTTTGACTGAGCTGAGCAAGACCAAGAACTGTCAGAAGCTCATGTCTCGGTGTATGTAGCACTACTTCCTTCTCTGAAAGAGCAGCCTGATATAAATCTGAGATTACAGGCACTCACAGAAAATTAGCAGACTGTAACCTCACTTAGGGAGGCTAACCAATCAAGGACAGCCAAAAAACCCACCAACATTCCAACATTAAGTTTTGTATCGTTACAACTCAAAATCAATGACACGCAGAAGACTGAAGTGTGCTCAAAACTACAGAAATCTGTAACAGAAACATCCCTATTTTCTACGGTTCATCCAAAAGAACCACAAACATACATGTAAGAAAAGCGAAGTGGCAAAGAAGCACGGGTACCGCTCACATGACATCAGTTTAAGCTGTAATTTGTCAACACGCATCATTTTCAGAACACTGTCCCTAGGGGAAAGGCCCTTAGAAAAGGAGGAAGATTGCCTTGCAGTTGTGCCTTTCAACAGATGAATAATGCACCAAAGAGCAAGACAACACGTATTTAAGGGTTTGTTTGGTTTGGTTTCTGAATTTGGGTCAGGTAAAATCATTAAATACTTCCTACAGACCTTCAAGTTACTGATCACACAGGGCTTCATGCAGAAGACCGAGTATGGAAACGTTGCTCTGACTGATTTGTTAGCCAAACTCAAACAAACAGCAAAAATTTTCCATGAACCTGTAACTTAGAAGCCTCCTAGTGTCCCAAACCAATTTCATTGATAGGGCCTAGTAAGTCTGCCAAGAGTGGTTTCTTTCCCCCACAACTCCTATACCTATCAAACACATTTTCCAAGCTGTTTTTCCATCTCTTTTGCACCTGCTTCTCTGGCAAATACCCAAGCAAACCACAAGAATACTCCTACCTCCCTGCCTCCCCAGTGACTTGCTGTGATAGAGGCATTTCAGCAGGGCTGGGATAGTCCTGCTCCAAAGCTCATCTCAGAACATGACCCCTTCTTGGCATTAACCATTACACGTTTTCTAAACCAAGAATCTTGGGCTTAAGACTTTCTGAAGAACAATAAAGGGCTAAGCCACAGAATGAAACTACTGGACTCAGTCACAGAAATGAATATCCTATAGCAGCCTCTAGAAGTCCCACTTTAAAAAATACATATGTTTGTTACTCAGTACTGTATAATTTTACTCTTTATATGACCCCATGAAGAAAGGAACTCAGCATTCCGCAAAAAAAGAAAAAAAAAAAAAGTCTTTTTTTTTAAAAAAACAACCTCAAAGCTCATCTCAGAACATGACCCCTTCTTGGCATTAACCATTACACGTTTTCTAAACCAAGAATCTTGGGCTTAAGACTTTCTGAAGAACAATAAAGGGCTAAGCCACAGAATGAAACTACTGGACTCAGTCACAGAAATGAATATCCTATAGCAGCCTCTAGAAGTCCCACTTTAAAAAATACATGTTTGTTACTCAGTACTGTATAACTTTACTCTTTATATGACCCCATGAAGAAAGGAACTCAGCATTCCGCAAAAAAAGAAAAAAAAAAAAAGTCTTTTTTTTTAAAAAAACAACCTTAGCCACAAATGAAGTGACCACAATGCATTACAACTCAGAAAGATGCATTGAGCTACATATAATATTATTTTCTTTCCATTTGTGCAATAGTTGAAAGTATACTGGCAGCTCAATACCAAGCCTGTTCTGGTATCAGGACATCGGCTAGCCTCCCTTCAGGCAAGGCTTTTGGTACTGTATGTCCTTCAAAAAGATGCAAGGAAGAATCAATGGTACCAAGAATAGTTCACAGTTTAGGCAAGGAAATAGTTCTTTTGTAAAATGGTAAAAGACTGAAGTGACAGACAAAAGATAGTCTCACCTTAATTTATACACTTTCGAGTCCTTGTTTAATACACAGTACAGTTCTACCACAGTTAAGTTTATGGTGTTTTGGTTACATTTTTTATATTAATTAGGAAGAATTATCAGATTAAGATGTATTGCTTCACAAACCATAGCATTTCCTACAACATTTAACTACACTATAAATACCCATGGAATCAGTCCTTTAAAAAAATAATGCTTGAATACTACTTACACTAGGTTTAATCAGCTTCTTAAGGACAAAACAATACCTGCAAATATTGTACTGTAATAAGCCAAAGACACACTTAATTAAAAAACATCAAATGAATAACAGGATGGTTTCTACCCAGCCATTCTGAGTGTTTCATGAAGGGTGAAAAGACCAACAGTAATACAGAGCAAATGCCATACAAAGACAATAGCATCTCCAAATGCCATTTTAAGCAGACAGTAAGAACCTGTTTATACACCAGCAAGAGAAATCAAAAATTTATCACAACTTCTTGCTTACCAAACTAACAAAAAAACCCCAAACATTAAAGAACTACACTATATTCTTTTTAATCATTACATTGTGAAGAAGTCTGCATTTCATTCCACTTTGATAACAACATGTAAATATACTTAATGAGAAAGTGCTCAACTATTATTCAAGCATCGCTGTTCTCTTATTTGCCAATGCTGGTTTGTAAAAATATATGCTCATGTTTTAAATTCTGGTTAAAAAACTGATTTTAAGTAAAAACATGTTCTGAATCTCCATAAGTGAATTATAACAATAACATGAAGCATTAAGTCTAAGCAAATAAGGACAAAATTTTGACTGCAGCTGAGGATGAGCATCAAAAAATGTTTACTGCTGCT